AAAAACTAATTAGGTCTCTGCACAGTCCTCAAGTAACTATGTACCAAGTTTCATTGAAACATGATCATTACTACTTGAAATACCAAAAGCTGAAAATTAATTAATTATGCAAATTAGGTAATTAATATGTACTGATATTACCCTAAAAACTATCAAGTCTGTGCAGTCTCATATGACATCTATGTACCAAGTTTTATTGAAATGTTATGATTCGTACTTGAGATATCAGTGGAAAAGCCGAAAATTGATTAATCATTATGCAAATTAGGTAATTAATATAAACAGATTTTTACCCAAAACTAATGAAATCTGTGCATTAGATCAGAGCATCCAGGTGCCAAGTTTCATCAAAATCCAATGAGTGGTTCTTCATATATCAGTGGAACAGTCATGGAACAGCTAAAAATCAGCTAATTATCATGCAAATTAGGTAATTAATATTCATAGATTTTTACCAAAACCTAATCAACTCTGCGCATTATCCCAGAGCATCTATGTACCAAGTTTCACCAAAATTTGATTAGTGGTTCTTGAGATAACGGTGGAACAAAAAAAGTGACATACATACATACATACAGACATACAGACAGGGTAACTGCAAAGACTCCCTTTTGTGCTTCGCACACGAGGAGTCAAAAAACATACTTAACAATTATGTATGTACATTAAGGTAGCGGGATAGTTTTTTGGCATGAAAAAACACCTATTATCAGAATAAATGTTACAAGAAACCTATACAATCTATATTTGTTTGGAATGCCCTTGACTTGTACTTTTCTATTATTAATATTTTGTGAACATTGTGTTTGTTTTGACGTCACATGATTTTGAAAATTGGCGGGGCTGATTATTAACTAACATGAATACAATTTTAATTGTCATCTCTACAGTCATTCATGCGATCAAAAACTTTACACTGTTTTGAAGCAAAAGTCACGAAGTTTAAATCTGTATTTCTATTTTGTACATTAAGTTTGTTTTTCCTTTCTGAAAATAACAAATTTCTAGCACGTTTTTGGTGTTAAAGTTTGTGTATATCAATAGTTTGCGCGAAGTTTGTGAAAAAACGCAATAGAATTTCGCAAAAATGTAAATACGAATATGAAGCCAACATATTGGAGAGTACAAAAAGCTAAACGGCAACATCGTAGCGCTACTCACTGAAACGCCATTTAAAATTAGGTCAATGGTAATTGCCAGAAACCGAACACCGAGAAATCGGCACTTTTATGATTTTAAACTTCAATCAAGGTTAACTCCCGTTTGAGTAGCAACAACTATATGGGTTGGTAGTAAATAAATTACTTTTGTTTTGTTTTCTAATCAGTAGGTGATTTTCAAGAAAATATCAATACTATCTATCCTTAATGACAAAGATTCACTAAATTAGGTGAAGATGCTGGAAATTGATGCCATGTGAAGTGAATTCTTTGAATGAACGCGTTCAGTCAAAACTGACTTTGGACCTCATTCGATACAAAATTTGACATAGATATTCACATATCCATACAGATAATAGAGAATATGATGAAATGATAAATAGAGAACCAAAAGATTTTATTGAAATGAATAATCTAATGGAAGTCCATAAAGTACCTATTTATCAAGTATCAAAGCAATTGGGCTGGTTATTTTCAAGTAAAAAAAAAAACATGATATTTTTCACGAAATAAAAAAATCAGATGAGATCACCCCCCAAGTACCATTTATGAAAAGTTGACATCGTATGACAAGAGACAATATAAGCTGTGATGCACATAGTTTTACTGATGCAGGTGATGACCAGAATCACAAACATTTTGATATTATCAATTTTAAATAAATACCAAATATCAACAGGAAACAATCAAAATATACATGGGTTTAAACATGGACATTACAAGATAAAATCTGACTAAAATATTTCATTAATTACTCACTTGAATGCAAAGACATTCATTACATGTTTCTGACATTCATTACATGTATCCGACATTCATTACATGTATCCAACATTCATTACATGTATCCGACATTCATTACATTTATCCAACATTCATTACATGTATCTGACATTCATTACATTTATCCAACATTCATTACATGTATCCGACATTCATTACATGTATCCAACATTCATTACATGTATCCGACATTCATTACATTTATCCAACATTCATTACATGTATCTGACATTCATTACATGTATCTGACAAATTCTTCAGCAATTCCTACTTACATGTATAAGTTGTAACATTTCTTTCAATGTTTTACGATTGGTTTTAGTCAGCTTAATTGGACACCCTGAACTTCTAATGCTCATGGTCAACAGTTTAGTACTTTTGCTTCGTTTGTCTTGAACAAGAAACCAATCCTTGTTGACGCGAGTTCCTACAAATATAGAAATCAGACAATTCTGAAGATTCAGTACCAATGTTGATCAGATTTCTTTTAATGGCATGTGAATTGCATTGTGGTTAAATAATAGTGACTATCAAGTATACATTCTCACCTATATTAGGTAACTGTTCCACCATTGTATACTGACCAGCCATGGATCGTAAATAAAACTGACAATTCAACAAGGCACTCTCTGGAAATCAAGTCAAATAGATTTAATCAGTACATTTTGCTCATTTCAATGTACTGTAAAAGGGTTAATTATTCACTGGGTTTTAATTTTGTTTATTTCGCCGACTGGAAAATGTGCTATTATAAAATTAAAACCTAGTGAGTATGTAAAATATGTAATAGTATGTAGATAAAACCGTGAATTTAAAACCAGTGAAAATTAGTCATTTTACAGTAATTACAGTTTTCTTGTTACCATCACATCATTATCACATCAGTTGTTATTTAGGTAATAATTTGGTGAAATAACGTGAAAATGGAAATTTATAAACAAGCTTTTAGCTCTGCATTGTTATATATCTCTGAATATATAAGCTGAATGTACAATAACTATACTTGTACCAGCATTAATTGGTTTACATTGTCTGTGTTGTTTTCTTAACTTGTTACTAGTGTCACGTCAAAAAATGATTGCAGTAAGGATAATAGCCAAAATGTGACAAAAGGAACAGAAATTTATAGAAATCTACACAATGTGTGATAATGACAAATAAAACATTTAAAGTAATACATACAACAATGAGGTAGGGGCCAAAGGTCAACAATTTTGAAAAATAATTGAAAAAACATCTATGCAGACTTATTTTGTGAATGAAGGCTATGATGTTCAACGGATTAGTTATTTTGACAAACCAAAGTCCAGTTTAAATTATAACTTGGTAAAATATTTGAATACATTGATTGCTATAACTGCATTTAGTACATTAATTTTTATTCATAATCTGTTAATTATTAAAATATCAGTTTATCTGAATTAACAATAAAGTCCCAAGATCTGATAAATATTATTGGAGATAATCATTTTATGCAAGAGATCTTCTCCATAATGGTAATTCATTGACAAATCCCAACATTACATATTATATGATATTATAGATAAAATACTGTATGTGTCAGTTTCCATAGTAACTCACCCCGTTTGGCTTCATACTGCTGCTCTCTCTCAATTCGAAGTCTTTCTGACAACCCCATCTCGTGCTCCAACGCAGAATAGTCATAATTGCGCGAGTTACGCCTGCATAGGAACAAGAATAATGTTATTTTGCTGTAGTCAACAAGATTTATATAGTTTCATATACTAGTATACCTATTTAAAATAAGTCTGCACAGATTTTTTTTCAGAATTGTTGACCTAAACTTGAGTTTATTTGAAAATACAGAAACAATCTTTGAAGCAGACATAGATGTGAAACATTTGATTGTACAAACAATGTTGATATAAAAGGTGTATAAACATCACCCTGAATGATATTTCGGTTCAGGTGATCTTTGAAAATATGAGCAATTATCCAAAACATGCCCAGGGCCGTCTTTCAGATAAATACAGTAGATATAATATCACTTTTGATATAATAAATATACACATAAACTAAAACCCTTTCTGTGTACACTTTATATGTCTGATATGGTGTTCAAAGTGAAATTCAGTTAGAGGCCATTTTGTTGTCATCAGCAATGAGGTCATTATAAGAATACTGCAGAGTATATATGAAAGAAGTATGATGATCATAGTGGACAACGATGGCAGAAGTTGATGCAAATACTAAAACGCGTTCAATGTTGGTGATGTAGTTTACCTCATATAAGGGAAAACTTGAATGTTGAAGTGCAGATATGTTTTTTTTAATCAAATCAGATACATTTTTTTTTCAGTATTTTTGAACAGTAAATTCTATTGATTTTTGTGTTAGATGTATAATATTATAAACTAGACATTTTTACTCCACTATATCTATTTCAAAACTGTTATCATTAGATAAACACATAACGATAGCCACATATACATAAACATCCAGCAATATGCTAATTAAAATTGAGATATGTAAGCAGTTCATTGGTATCAGAGATTAAGTGCAGACATCTCAATATTTTCCAAGAAGAATATCTTGTGTATTAGCTTATCCTTTTCATCTCCAGTTCCCTCTTTTCATCACAAATTAGTCCCGTTTATAGTCTAGTTTCATTCAGAAAATAGGGACAAAAATAGCCAAATTTTTTGAGTAAAAACTGAAAATGGATTGATTTTGTCTGTTGGCTCTAAAATTAGGGTTCATTTCCACAAATATTGAAGAATATAAAAAAAAAGTGCAGACAAATTTGAGCAAGAAAATCTAGTGATGAAAAGGTTAATCACATATATGTATAAAATATTGCAATGGAAAAAGGAGAACAACAAAATGTGAAGCATACACAATGGTCTCCTATGCATACATACATGTAATACAGAAATTCACTGAATTTGAATGTTAACATTGCAGAAAATATTTCTAAAATTTTTCAGTTTAAATTCACAGTTCATATATTTCTGTTAGAAATTATGGAAATAATTCAATTGGAAATTATCAATCACAAGCCTTAGATTGATTTCATTGTTCAATCATTATTTATGATGAAAAAGCAAATCATTTCATTTTAAGTGTAACAAATAAATATATCACTAAATAATTAAATAAACAAATAAATTAATGGATAAATATCCCTTTTATCAACTACACAATTTATATTAGAACTACTATTGGTCTTACCATTTACAAACCAGCCAGACAACGAGAAGACAAACTACAGCCAAGAGCAGTACACCACCAAGTATTGGTAACTGTAAAACAAACATGTGTAAGTGAATAATAAAAGTTGACATACATGCACACATTACATGACATCAGAAAGTCATTGGTAGCAATTAAAATATTTGTTGTGCATGTGATATTATATAAAATCCCATGATATTGCCAACAAGCATGACATCATCGCAGTCAAGTGACTGCCATAAAGTAGTAGTATCCCATGAGCCACTTGTAGAAGGTACAGGGAGTTCATGACAACGCAACACGAGTGAGGAATACCAGAGATTTATTTATCATATCTACATATCATGATACTTTGTAGTTAGTGATGTACGTATAACCATGGAAGGTACTAACGGAAGGGGCCACGACGCCTATCAAGTGGCCACTTAAGCCTCTTAACTGGTTTATTTCCTTTTGTTTCAACCCAAATTAATCCTGATAGTGACATTGTCTAGCTCATCTTTGATGTCGATGATAGTTTGCGATTGTTTACACAAGTAACGAGTTAGTGGAGTATGATATAACCTCGCCGATTTTTAATGTGACCATAAAATATATGCGCATTATGAAACTACGGTTATCACACGTGCGCACTGAGTTTGTTTAGGTGTGAAAAGTCAAAATACGTATTTCACAACTAGAAATTCAACAGATGAACGTTTGACTTCACAAATTTCACATGTTTTAAATATTAGCAACTGTAACTATAACAGGATTCCGAGTGCATACAACAACAATTCCTAAGGACTCCTAAAAAATATTATTACAGAGAAAGTGTCTAGACATGCTCTTCTTTCGATACTATCTTTTCTGTTGGTGTTCGCCGATGTCCGGTGGTCAAAAATTTCGAAGTTTCGGGCGCCAAACCCACGCACTGACAATGGTACCATTGAATAATGCAATCGTCACATGCAATCATTGATTAACTCCCATTACCATTACAAATACAAAATTCACGATATTTCATCAGACTTTCTTTCAATCAATGTTATATCTGACAATTTTCCATAAGAGTTCGCCAAGATTTCCGGAAACAACAGCATTCAAACTAAAATTTGTTTTTCAATATTGTACATGCGAGGTTCGACTATCACTTCCGAACATGCTCCGAATATTACCGAATGCTCGAGATTAGCGTAACCCATTGTACAAAGGTGCTAAAAGCTAACAAAAACAATGTTTGTGAATAAACATTGACAAACGATCATGGGGCAAAGCTAAAACAATAGCGTCGTGGCTCCTTCCGTACCTTCCATGGTATAACTGATTCTGGTAAGTGTTTATAAACTTTGGTAGCACCACTGTAGACAGAATCTTCTGTCAGAATTGGTTTATAGATTTGGGTATATTTTATCTTAATTTTTTCATGAAGTTATCGTCTGAGGATGTCATTTCATCTTACAACACCTGTACATGCATGGCCTCAAATGATCATTTTGATTACGGAGACGGTTATAACAAAAATATACTTAATATTTTGTTATTAGGCCAAAAATATTCACATTTGCACATGTAGTTTTAGAAAAAAATAATGCAACATTTCCCTTTGATTCAAAACACATCAACTTTATTGGTGCACTTCTGGAAAATGATGACACCAAACGTATGGTAATATGCTATCTGATGAAAGCGAATCTATCCATTTGCAATGTCCTTCATTATAACTCGTGTGCAAGACGGTCACGTTAATGGTCAGAATGTGATCACATGGAAGTCAATACAACTCATTAATGACTTTTGAAGTCATTATTTAAGTCAATAAAGAAAATCGAATCATATCAATTTTGTTTTCCCGCAAGTGTAGTTGTTAACAAATAATAATTGTTTGCACAGACTTTGACATTTAATTCATATGTTTTGTTAATTTATTCAGTATAATAAAACATATAGTTACCTCACTATCAGTAAATATTCAGTTTTAATGACCCTCAGAGGAATTATTGAACCTTGCTGTGCCTCAGTCAATATTTCTACTTTAGGTCATTAAAATAGTAAGAGTTCCTTAGGCCCCGGAAATGCTAGTCCTCACCCATAACTCTGATCCTGACCCTGCCCTTCCAGTGTCCCTCCCTCATTTCAATTGTCACCTCTCTTCGAGTCACTTGTAGCTATTTGGAGGGGCGTATTGAATTACATTGGGGATGAGTGTTAGGGTTTATGTTAGGGGTGAGGGTTTAGGTTAGGGGTGAGGGTTTATGTTAGGGGTGAGGGTTTATGTTAGGGGTGAGGGTTTAGGTTAGGGTGAGGGGGCCTTAAAGAACTCTTTCCATTAAAACTGAATATTGACCTCTACATTGTTTCGTATTTCATCAAACTATGGTTATATATTTGTGATAAATAAATATGAAACTTACATAAATATGATTTGTAAGGAAGCTCCAGACTTCACCCATTGTTGTGTAAACTTGAAGTTGAGTGAGTCGTACAGGAAAATTACCACAATGTCTTGTACGATATTAATTACAAGGAACACATAAGATTGTCAACACTGGACCTTTCGTTGGTCATATGACAATGGGATGACTATGAATAGTTTATATGACGAATACCTGATTATGGCATCATACATAACGTTAACGTAAATTACATTCGTTGTAAACACAGTTGATCAAAATAGAGAAGTAGATAACATACTCAGTCAAACAAATTGTCATCACTGCTGAAACTAATGTAACTTACTAATAAGTATTCCGTAAACTACGACGTGACTTTCGAGAAACTTTAGTTCAAACTCAACCCTGAGATGCGTGCCATTGTAAAATATGGTTCCCTGATTCTTTAAGTCGCCGTAGATGTCAAAATCATGTTTTCGAATGGATCAGCACATCAGACGTGATTTTAATCAGTCGAAATCACCATTGTCAAACAACGACCCGGTCAGTCAGGGTCATTCAAGTATAATGACACACGTTGACCTTAATCACGTGACTCTAACCACGTCGAAATTTGCAGCTTGACTGCTCGTCAGATAATGGTAATGAAACGATGATTAGAAGAAAAACAATAACATTCGAAAAACATGTGTTTGTAACATGTAACAAATTCGCTAGTAAATCGAGACAAAAAACATTCACAAAACAAATTATTTCATACATCTCAATTGCCGTCGGTGGCGCTGTAGTCTTCCATCGTCACACACATGGCAGAGCGTCCACAAAAGTGTGTGTGTTTGTTCATTAATTTGTGTCACATTTTATTATTTAAAATCTAACAAAGGCACACAACAATATTTTTATATCAGCATTTCCATGCTAAAATTATATTTTAAATAACGGTGAAATAAAAAAAAAAAAAAAAAAAAAAACGAAGTTATTTAGGCATCATAAAATATTCGAACAACGTAACAGTACACTATGTATTGATACATTTGCACTGACGTCATTTCATATACTAGTATATATATAATATATTTGTGCCAATTAAATATCCTTTATAGGCCGATCGTATAGTAGTGGATTGTTTGTATGAAAACTGGTAAATATCTAGACGGCACGAGGTATACTGTTTGACTGCTAAGAACCCCAGGGGCAGCTTTTCCAAAAAGCCTCTAAACACGTACTTATTTTTGTGAAATTACACATCTTTTTAAGTGAAGAAACTTAAAATAGATACCCTATATACACACTAAAATCATATTGTTCCCAAGTTGAGATAACATGAATTCATGAGATACATTTTTCACACTTTATTTATATGTTTTAAAATATTCGATCCTGAACACGGTACACGCGTCGAATAACTAAATAACTCCCATTTTACGCGTTTTTTTACTTTAGCTTGCGAACCATATTTTGTTCAGAGAACCCCCGGGCTAAAATTACACACTGATATATTTACAACTAAAACTCCTTTATATATAACATGTCGAGACAGTTACGTACCAAAGAAGTAAAAGGTAAATATTATATAGTATAGCATAGATTTGTTGTTTCGTTTTATATTTCCCGTAACTTGAAGTTCGGTTAACAGTTAATTAAAATTCGAGTTACTAAATTTAATCGTTAAACAAAACAACAAATCTATGTTGCTCATAACTCGAAGTTCGGTTAACTATTAATTGACACAGAGTTATAATTTGGGCGTGGTTTCTAGGATTAGTTTATTATTATATGACGAATACAAAACGTATGTAGGTCGTTCAAGGTGGAGTTTGCGTGGTTATTACAGGGCCTGTGAAATGCATTTATGTTTTGGGTTTATGCTGCCCTGAAGAGGACATTTGTAAAACAAATTAAATAATAATTCATCTTCGAGTAAAATTGCAAAAAATTGTGTCCGAGTTGTGGCCACGCCCCTTACTGCCGCTGTCGAATGTTTCCGACTTTCCGAATTCTCTCGAAGTGCAACTGTGCCACTAAACGTCAGACGAGGAGGGCACGCAAGTGACGTACACTGAATACTGTAAAAACTCGTAGTTGTAGGAATCTTGAACACAACACAAATGCAGCACAGCGATATCTTGTAATATATATATTTACTAATGGCAGTCTGTTTATAAATGATAAATTGTAGAGTGGCGGATCTAGGGGGGTTTCTTGGGGACCCCCCGTTAAAACATTTATTCAATTTGATTTTGTATAATATCAAAAAAATCATTAACTTAGTCTGGTGATTTTAAAGTTTGGACCCCGCACCATAAAAAAATCCTGTATCCGCCCCTGATGTATACAGAATAACAATTCATATTGTTAGCTTTAGCGGGGTTTGTAGCTTTTTTTCGATCAAACTATTTATTATCCTCATTGTCATAAAAGACAACTGAACAAATTATTAAAAAACTAAAAAATGGGACATGATTGTTCAGGTTTTAAGTA